AATATAATATTGATGGTTATCATTTGCCAACCAACATATTATTTAATGAAGAAATGAATTTAATTCCTCCAAAAATATGATAATTCACTTTGATGTTCTAAGTGCATTATTATTATATACTTTTAGTTTTCCAAGTTGCAGTCACCAAAGTATTTCCCATACATAAATAATTATAAAGGTAAAGCCCTTCTACTTTATGTCTTAGACAATTAGAATAGAGGTTTTGTTGGTAATTTTCAAAAAAATACTAATACTTCATTCCGTGCTAAAATACAGCCATTTTAACATTGATGTGTAAATTTAGAGATAAACCCGCCATGAAAATTATTAACTAGAAAGTAAGAGCAATATTAATATCTTTTTCTTAAAATTTAAAGAATAATTAATTTCTTTTAAATCTTAAAGGATTATTTACAAATCAATTAAATATCTCTACTTTTATATAAGAAATATATATGATTTAATTAAAATATTATTGTTTTTCAGATAGTCCTGAATATAGAAATCACATAGTAATAAATATTTTTGGAGATGATTAAATTTAATTATCAAATCTAAATAGATAATTTAATAAAGCTCTTATAGATTGTTAAAAATGGTTAATTAAATGAATAAATAACTCATTTATAAATATAGAAGAGGAATAATACAAATTTTGCTGTGAATGTTATTGATAATATTTATTCTATATTATTTTTGAAAGTGGATCTGTTGTAACTCTAGTGATTATTCTATTTTAAGCAGAAAATATTTTTTAATTAAAAGATCACTAGGAAATTTTCTTATTTAAAATTGTAATTAATTCTTTTCCATATAATACTGAACATAATATTTAATATTTTACCAAATAGATAATTAAAAAATTGAAAATAGTTAATATAGCAAAGCTGGGCTCCAAAAGCAATTTGGCAAAAAGAAAAAAGAGATGATTTACAAATAACAAAATTTGCTGGATGCTTTAAAGTGTTCTCACAAAAAATTATTGGAAAAATTGATTCTAACAAATATTCCCAAATATGAACTAAAAACATCCATATCAATAAAGATGATACATACAAAATAATAAAGGAGCTCAAGTTTTAGTATTTCGAATAAAAAAACAATTTTTATATTTAATAATAAACTTGAAAGGAAAATTATGTCAGCATTTCCAAATCCGAATCATTTAGCAATGTTCTGCATACAATTTTCCAAATATTTCAATCATCATCATTAAAGGGTCTTTATTCTTACTTAATTATTCTAGATGCTGCTTTAAAAGATTTGTTACTTAAAAATTATTGAATAAATTTATTTGATAGTTTTTAAAACAGCAATTTTTAGACTTAAAGGCAAAGAATCTTACATATAGACTTAACTTATAATTTGTATACTTGAATCTTTTTGCTAGTCAACTTGAGCTTAACATAAAAAATGTTATGGCCTTAATTTATAGATTATTTCCAATCAGCATCAGATGGATATCTTAGACACTTGTCTCCAAATGAATTATTTTATTCTTCTTCTATTTTGTTCTCTTTTTTTTTTGAGAGGAAAAAATTGTTAAAAACTTGGTCATGTATATTTGAAAGAAAGATTTTTTTCAGATAGTCTCATCAAAAAGTTATCGATAGTAACGATAGATGTTTAAATGAAGCCTTTTAATTATAGTAAATTATTTTTACACTATAAACTTCCAAAATTTAACGGTTTCTAAAATAAACATTATCATTTAGGTATTTGTGCAAATTTTTAAATAAACTTAGTTTTTTTCAATTAACCTCCCAAGAGCATTGTTTTTAGCTAATCTAAATGTTAATTTTACATTCTTTACTTTTTAATATGTCTACTATCCTCTTGTTATGATTAATACAAGATTCTAAACAGAAATTTTAAGATTTGAATTTTTATTTATAAAATAGAGAATATGGATATCTATTAAAATTATTATATTCAAAAAAGAAATAAAAATATTAAAATTAAATAATGGAAAAAATGACTTCTTGGCATAACACAAATTTAAGATGGTTTGTATTAGTGCTAATTGGTGTTTATCCATTAGTACAGTTTTTAATAGGGGAATATCCAGCACTTTTAGGAGAACAGATCAAGTCATATTTTGATGTGAGTTAAGCAGAAATTAATTATCTATTAACATTTAGATCTTTTCCAAATATGATAATGTCATTAATTGGGGGTCTGATTATAGATACTTTTGGAGTAAGACGTTCTTATGTCTTTTTTGGATCAATTGTGATTATTGGCTAACGTATTAATAATAGAAAATTATATAATAAGTTTTATGTTTTGTGTCTGTAATTTATAAGCATTTTATTTGGATGGTGATTGGTAGATTTATTTTTGGATCATTTGAATCAAGTGGTTTTGTAGCTGAGAGTTATTATATCAATAAATGGTTTTAAGGTAAAGAAAATTCCCTTGCATTTGGGTATATAAATTAATTAAATACAGGATTGATACTGCTATCTGTAGATTAGGATCAATTGGAGCTGCTATTATCTATCCTTATCTTTATCAATCTTCAAATAATGATTTATCTCAATGCTTATTGATTTGTCTCCTTATAGCAATTATAAGTTTTCTAATAATCATAATTCTCACCTAAATTGATAGATGTAGTGATATAAGAGATAAAACCACAGACTAAAAATTGGATAGTGTAGATCTTAGATAAATTAGAAATTTTAGCTTAGAATTTTATATAACTTTAATCACATGTGTGACCTGCTATTCTGTTTTCTTTATCTTCAGTTATAACAGTGTCGAAATGTTTAAATAAATGTAATTCTAATCTAATATTTAGTTATAAATTGAATTAAAACGTTGCAAATACAATATTTAGTATTCCTTACTATCTTTCTGCAATTTTGAGTCCCATCATAGGTCATTATGTAGATAAAAAAGGATAGAATATTGAAATTCTTTGTACTGCTAGTTGCTGCTAATTATTAGCAATGACAATTTTTTATTCAATGCCAGAATGTGATACAGAAAGCATTACCATACCATTTTTAGGAAATATACTTAATGGATTCTTTTTTGGAACCTATTATGCTGTAATGTGGCCACACATACCATTGATTGTACCATCTCATATGGTTGGAACTGGCTTTGGCTTAACTTTTTCTTCCATTAACATAGGTAATATCCTATATGTAATTTTATAGAAATTACAATTTTCTCATTTATTGTTTCTAATATGTTGTAAATAGAAAATTATGATAATTATCAATAAATGAACTATTTGCTACTTATTTTATCTCTTATAGGATTTATTCCATTAGTATTTTTATTCAAAAATCATCGAACTTAATACCATAAACATATCCAAACTTAAAATGATGATGATGAAACAACAAATTAAATCGAATTAATTGTAAAAAGTAAATCCACTTGAATTAATTTTATTTGTTTAATTTATTATCATAAATATTTGAATTTTGCCAAAGTTTGAATATTCACCTATTTTAATATATATTTGTATTTATCCTACAAAAATCGTATCTATTTAAACTTGAAACCTGTATTTTATACTCTTTCTGTATTCTTATACTAATTGTTTTTTTATTTCTCAATCTTTGATATCTATTGGTTTAATATCAATTCTAAAATTCATATTATAAAAAAAAATTAATCCTAGAAATTTTATTTTTCTAATTAACATAATTACATAATTTATTTTATAAACTAAATTAAATTCTTATGTAAATCTCGACATTAGTTAATTTAAAGCTTATTCATTCCTTCTACATCTTCTTTTTCAAAAATAGTATCTTTAACATTAAATTCATAATTAGCCTAATTTTTATTTAATGATTTTTCATTCAATTTTTATATTAATTCATCTCTTATTATATATCTTCTTAAAAATATTATATATTAAGTTTTGAAAATATGCAAAAATTTTTTTTCAATTTAGTTTCACTTTACTTTTGATCATCACTTAATTTAAGTTCTGTTTCAATAAAATAGTTCTTTCAAAATTAACTACTAAAAATAGAGATTCATCCTTATTTGGATATTTTAAAAAATATTGATTAAATGAGTTTTATTTAGTTTTCTCTTTCATCTATATTTGATTTAAAAAATCAAATCCTTTTCTATCTACAAAATTATAAATTAAAGAATCATCTATGCTTGCTGAATATAATTAAAACAATTTTAAATTTCTAATATATTCTTTAAAAATAATTTTTATTAATTGTGTTTTACCAACTCCTGAGCTACCTAAAAATATAGCTATCGGATATTTATTACAATTTTTTTATAATTCTTAATCTAAGATAGGGAATTTAGATTTTGGTATATTTTAATATTACTAGAATTGCTAATAATTTTCATATAACAATAATTTTGGTTTTAGCTTTCTATCATTTTATAATCAATTTATTTATTAAATAGATTAAAAGATATTTAAAAATCCTTTTTTAATTATCCAAATAAAACAGTTTGAACAATTTTTTGTTCATCTAAAAATTTATCTATTAGCATCTCTCCCAGAATTTTTTTAAGATTAATGTTACTAATTCTTTGTTTTATTAAGGTAATTTATTAAAATCAATATTTTAAATTTATTCTAAATCGAATATAAGTTTCTTTTCTTGTAAAATTATTTTAAACTATTAATTAAAATTCATTATTTACTAGGTTTTGATCTACAACATTATATGATAATATTATATCTCCAACAATATTTTAAAAAAATTGAGACTTTATGTTATTGTATGTTTTGTATATTTTTTTTTAATTTGATGAGTATTTATATGAGTGAAATTTGTTAAAGGAATAGAACTTTTGAAGTTTATTTTTTTATATGCTTAATAGTTTATAATTTATTGATTTTCCAATTACCTTTTAGTACAACTGTATCATATTATTAGATTCCTTCTCCTTTCATAAATTTATCTATGCAATAACCTTTGTAAGTAGCTCTATCTTACAAAATGATTTCCTCATAACCTATATTTTATCATTAACAAATAACCTTAAATTTGTAATTTTGGTACCATTAACATATTCAAATATCCAAAATTGTTATATAGATTTAATTAATAATGTAAGCTTAATTCACACATAAATTATTTGATTTTGGATTAGGTGATTTATTTTATAGATGATGACATAGCAATAGAAGAAAATTATTTGGTTGAATAGAAATCTTGATTGAAATTTTTAAAATAATAAAAATACTAATTTTTAGTTTATAAAATTGAAAATATAAATTTAGACTTTTAT